CCTGTCCCGAAACCTCCCAAGACCTATAGTTTCACCTGCATCGAAGCCTTTCCAAAAAGAATAAGCCCTGTGCCTGGCAGCTGGGCTTCTTCCAGGGTCAAGTCTAACTCGATGGGTTCCTGGAGCTCCTGTGGCTCTGAGAAGGTTCGGTTAAGGTCGGGGGGTCTGGGAATGTCTGGGACTTTAGGGCATCGAGGAAAGCAAAGGGCCAATCTGAGGATCTCTTCAGTCAGCTTTTGCTGGATATCATCTCTGTCACCATTTATTGTCGCGACATCCCGTGTCCTCACGCACGGCTTGGGAGGACTCCAAGATCAACGCAATCAGAATGTTGAGGACAATGAGGTTGACTATCACCTGAGCTCTTGCCCCTGCAGCACATGACGAGAAGTGGCAAAGTGCTGCACAGAGACGAAACTCTGTTCCTTTGTGGTGGGTGCTTGCACAGAGTCGAAATGAGGATGCTATCGACGCCAAACAGGCTGTACTTGTTGGGATTTGATTTGAGTGTTGCGGGCAGTTGTTAGAAGCTACACGTTCCAGCAACAGCCAAAGACTGGTCCCTTGCGTGGGCGAGATGGATTTCTAAGTTCAATCATCTTGCCAGTGCAGAACAACTGTTCGCCCNNNCCCCCCCCCCCCCCCCCCCATCTTCGCAAGGACAAAGTCCTATGTGCGACTGCTTATGCCAGCCGGGGTGTCGGAGAGCCGCGCCACAACCCGAAAACCAAAATGCTTGCCGGAAGGTATGTCTGGCCTTCTTTGTTTGCAGCAAGTGGCAAAAAAACAGATGAAGAAAATCGCAGAATATTCCGTCGTCACCAGGATGCAGGCGCCAGCTATCACCTCGAGTGCGATCAGACGGGGCCCAGGCCCATGTCCAGAAAGTCTCATGCTGCATGTGGCCACACATGAAAGACCCCACCTCCAACACATACATCATGTCTCCCAGCGGTCCAATCGACAGGGGACAGCGTGAACAGCATTTGCTGCAGGTCAGTGGGCTCGTCAGCAAGTGACTTGCTCACCAAGGGCTCAAACCCTTGACATTTTATGTTGCAAGTAATCGATTCGTATTACGGACGGAATGAATACAGAAATAGAAGAAATCGGCTGAAGCCCTGACATCCTCATGAACATGGGATGCCTTGAGACAGCTAAACTTGATAAGCGGTCCGGACTGCAGAGCAGTCACGAACCAGTTGTTGACCATCATGATGGAGAACAGTGTGACAAAACCTGCATCGGACATGCGCCCACAGCGACAGTTGCGCACAGAAGACTGCTGGCCACAAAGCGCCTGAGAGGATGTCATTGAAGTTCAAGGCCCAGTAATGCGACGCAGCGAAAAAAGAGTTCTGCAGCCTGGGCAGGTGCGGTCCCGCATGATAGTACGAGCAAGCACCACAGATTCCACCACACCTCGTCACCTGCATATAAGATGGCCCGGCCCAGCACAACAGTCTCCCACCCTGAAACAATCCATTGCCAGTGGCTTGAAACCGGCACCATGGCCAAGATCTTGCTTACTTAGCACCTGGCCAGTCGCACTCTAATGCCAAATCTGTCTCATTAACCCCCCAGAAACTGCACATGCCAATGCCCAAAGTGAAGATGCTCTGCAGCTGTCACAAGACGCATGTCTGGGCAACTCCTGTACAGACACGCAACATTTCCAGGGTGGACATAGCCTCTGTCAGCCAAAGCGGTAGAGAACTGCAGGCAAGACAGCGAAGTCTCTGCCAAGGTTCCGTGGATTCCCTTTGTAGAGCCGTCCTCCAAAGAGGGGCTCCTCAGACCAGATGCGAGGCATTGGCGAGCTCTTGCAAAATTCCAGCCACTGAAGCCCTCTTTGCTTACAAACCATCAGGGTGTCAGCCAACATCGAAACATAGTCCCGGTTATCGACAGGCCTCAAGAATGGGCAAGGCTGTGAATTTCAGTTGTCGCGAGAAACCGAAGCTGCCAAATCACACGGCTGATGCCTTTGGCCAGCAGTGCGGCCGGGTTGCACCAATGGTGGCAAAAATATAGAACCTTAGCTCCTCCTGCCCTCATCAGCGGTCACAACCGACCATAGCCATAATCAAAGTCATGCGCAATGTACGGTATTGTTCACACTTATCCTGATCGGCTGACGGTGGGATGTGACGAGGTGCGTGCTCAGCAGAACCATACCCAGGCGAGAGTATAAAGGCAGCAGTCGCACCACCTGTCAGGGATTGCAACATAATGTGGACATGAGCAAGTCCAGCAACGACTGGTTGGATTTGTGGCATGAGTCGATTGTTCGAAACTACAGGTCGTAACCCGAAATGGGCAGAGGATCTTGCTCGCATCGCGCACTACTTCTGTTGCAGAAAACAACGTCGCGGGGCCCCGCGCTATTATCTTTGCAGTTTCAAATCATCACGCCCCGATGGCATGGATATGCCGTGGCAAAGTTTCAGCATGTTTCTGAAAAAACTTTCTGGTCATGTCTTGTATTACCTACATGTATGCATGCCCCCATGAAGATGTGTACTCTTTCTTTGATGGGGCCATAGCAGGGGCTGCACTGTTACACCGTTGCCCTTCTTACACGCACGCACCTGCAAGCATAAGCCCTTGCATGTACATGCATTCATGTGTACACACATATATATATATACATATAATGTACGAAACATGAACAGATAAAACCAGAGTGGCGAAGACCCCAGATAGCCGGGGAATCGTCAAAATGGTTTCGGACATAAGTGGTTGTCAAATATCTTAACCAGGAAAGTCAACCAATTGGCTCTTCCTTTATGTATCTTTCTGTGTTGCCCCCCGGTAGTTGCTGTTTTAGGCTCAGGCTTGCCCATCTGCGAAAGGCAATGTCTGAGCTCGCTCTTCTTCACATGCCTCAATTGCGCTTGTGGCGCAATTTAAACTCCACTCGGCCTCTCCATTCTTTCGGGTCACTGGGCCGGGTGGTGGCCCAGGTCAAGACATTCCTATCCCTCATGGTGACAGTATGTGACAGTCGACCACTTATCGTGCATCATGTATGTCACTCTTTCGCCAGTCAATCGGGACCTTTGTGCTGGTAAATGTCTTGGAGGCATCGATTCGACATTTCCTTGTTCTTTCTCTGTCTTGACGTGCCGGACAAATTTCAGCTGTGGCTCGTTCACTTCCCACGCGTCATATGTGCAACCATGAGCATTCTTGATGTCCTGTGCCGCAGCAATTAGGGTACCAATCTGCTCAAGAAAATCCAATCTGCTCAAGAAAATCAAACGAGCTGGCATGCAAATCCGACACGCGCAGCAAGCTTCCAATGCACCAAGCTGTTGCTCCGACACATCAGTCAAACAACTCGCTGCCAATCTCGCCGCACCTACAGCGGCATGCGGAATAACAGTCGGTGTCAGCTGCACCAATGTACCCTGTCGCACAATCGGAAGAGGGTTTCCACCCAACTCAATCAAGGCAAGATTGTTTCGGGCCTATCATCAAGCGAACCTATCCTCCCATGACTCTACCTCCACGAAGACCAATCATCGTACCATTCCAGTTCTCGGCTCCAATCCTGATTCCACTCTCCTTGATGAATCTCCTGTTGGTTGTCATCATCGGTCACTGCCGACACTTGCTTTCCCTTTCTATTCCGGAGGCTCGTGTCACCACAAACAAACCTTCTTCGTCTTTTTGAATGTCTTTGATTCCTTGTCCTTGTCCTCTCGTTCCTTTGCATCCTTCTCCATTTCCCTTCTTGCCTTTGTACATTTCTTTGCCTGTGCCTTTTGCTTGGTACATACCTTTGGCATACAACCCTTTCCTCCTTTCCTTCCTCTCTTCCCTTTCAATGCTCCAATGTCCATGTCTGCTGGACCACCGTCATTCCTCATGCTTGGCACAATCAGATATCTGCTATTGAAATAAATAGACAATCTCCATGTCTTCTCTGAATGCGTTGATGTTACGAACTTCAAAGACGCAAATGCTGCTGCATTGGACCAATCGTTTTCTGCACAAGCAGTGTGCTCAGGAGGTCATTGTCCAACGGCCTGCCAGTCGCCTTGTGACGACTCTTCAAGATGATGAAACGTGCCTCTTGCTGCAAACTGTCTGCGCAATCTGCCCCAAATCTCGAAGGCATTCCGTGTCCTCATTTCGAAGAATCGCCCAAACTGCACCATCAGTGATCTGCGCCAGCATGCGCCCCAATTGTCGTGAGGAGAACAATAACAGTTGGTTGTTTTGCGCTCTCCAGTTTTGTCTTGTAGGAGCTTGCTAGGCTGTACGTGCAGTTATCGTAAGTTAGCCTGCTCATTTTTTTAAGTATTGTAGGTTCTGTCAGCACATAACCGAAGTTATAATTTTGGCTCATTTAATTGGATAGCTAAACTAGATGTATCTGTGTTACAGAATAAGGGGATACTAAGTTACCATAGTCTTGTTTCCATGGAACTAACTTACTTACCGGAACTTAGCACTACTTAGTTCAAAGCGTAAACAGAAGTTGCAGGAACTTAACCTCTCCGGCCTTTTGTCGAAGAGGCACCCAACATCAGCCAGTAGTCTCGCATTTGAACGGTTTTGTTTTTGCACGACAACTTTTCTTACATTTTAACTGAATAGTGCTAAGTTCCGGAAAGTATGTACTTCCATGGAAACAGAATTATATGGTAAGTTAGTATCCCCTTATTCTGCAGGATGGACACAACTTGTTTTGGCTATCCAATTAGCTAAACTTACAGTATAAGTTGTTTAGAAGCTCGGTTATGTGCTAGCCAAACTTGCCAGCGATGCCTTCATCTGCAACGGCAACACCGCCACTCCTGTATACACAACACAGAAGCCCACACCAGGACACTGAAGTGTCTCAACAAAAACCCATTTCAGGCACCAAAGTTTGAGTATCCGAATGCCAAAAGTCAAGCAAAAATAACTTGTGGCGCCTGCTGGTGGCCGCGTGGGGGCCGCGGGCAATTCTGGTGCCCGCGTGCTTGCCGCAAGATATTTTTCTCTGCTATATACAGAGCTTGCAGAGGTGGTGGCCGCATGGTGGCCGCAGACAGTTTCTGGGAGCCGCGTGCGCCCCAGCATGTCCTCCTCGCAACGGTCACTTCTCACTGTACTTGATGAACGCGACATTGTCGTTTGCCGCTCTGCTAAAGCACTCCTTGCAGTGCCGCTGCAATGACTTCCGCAAGGCACTCATCCTACACCCATCCGTGACATCCTCCTTGGCATGAGGCTCTTCCACTCCCCGCATGCCAGTTATCTTTGGTCAGGAACCTTCGCTCGGCCTTGACGAGCAAAGCCAGCCAGTCTCAATCATGCATTCTTTCGGAAAAGTCTGGAGCGCCGAAAGTTCTAACGACGACATTCTCAATCTAAGGGAGCTCATTGACTCATTCGACTGCTCGTCGCGGTGCTCAAGACACCACCCAGATAATCCTTGGCTCTCTTTCAAACCGGAAATCAATTTCCAAAACTCGCCCAAAAAAATCAATTACATCTCGTTGATTTCTATGTTGTAATTTGGGCGGGTCGAGGAGTCGAGGAGCGGTGTTTGGACTCGGCGTGCGCACTTGTTGTTGGCATTGGCTAGTTTTGAACCCGGAAATCAATCTCCAAAACTCGCCCAAAAAGTCAACTAAATTTGGATGATTTTTCTTGGGCAATTTAATTTGGCGGGTCCAGGAGCGCTTCTTGGACCCGGTTTGTGCACCTATTATGGCCTTCAAGCCGGAAATCAATCCCCAAACTCGCGCAAAACTCAGTTCAATTTGAATACTGATTTTTCTATGACAATTTGGGCGGGTCCAGGAGCGGTTTTTAGACCCGACTTGTGCACTTGTTCCTGACGTTTGCACGTTTGCTAGGTTTGAGGCTGCAAATCGTCCCCAACTCACTCGCCCCACCCCACCTGCCTGCCGCCCCGTACCCCATTCGCCGGTGGCGGACACGGCGCCCCCCCGTGCCGCCTGCATGTCGCTGCATCCCGTGCGGTGGTGGTGCGCCCCCCCCCCCCTCCCCCCAAAGGTATGCCCCCCAGATACGCGGGTTTGGAGCCTTTGACGCCTGCCGAGGGCCCCATTCAACGGAGAGAGGGGTCAGATCGAGGGGGACAAAGCTCCGAAGCTCGCAGACCCCAGCCGATCCACAGGAGGGGAGGGGGGATGAGCACACACACACACAACTATTGGAAGAAGGCCTGCATCAAACCACCTGACCATTCCACACGCAAGCTTAAGGCCCAATCCGTTCCATAGAGAGGGAGGGGCGGGGCCCGCCAGGGCGCAACCGTACATACAGCAACATTCGCAGCAACATGCATCTGTCTAGCTCTGTCTGTCTGTCTGTCTGTCTGTCTGTCTGTCTGTCTGCACGTGTATGTATGCATGTCCAGTTTTTCGCAAGTAAGCAAAATTAGCCATCTTACGCGTTGTTTGGTGTATTTACTTTTGATTGAACACAACTCTGAACAACTCACAACCACCCCAGACTCGCCCTCACACGTGAGTCACACCCCTCCA